GCAAGCATGGTTGAGTTTCCATATCAAAAGTACGTTCCTAATATAGTACCTATCTACCCCTGAAAAAAGAACCTACATATTTAGGACAACCTACGTGCAGGTACATTTGTGATTCCACCTTTTCCACCATTTCCCAACAATGACCATAATAATTATTATAAATTATAATGTGAATAAAATAAATTAAAATAGCAATATTATTATTATAGTTCCAAGGCCATACCATTCCTTTTCCTCGGTTCTTCACGGACGTGGCATCTGTAACAATGGCTGTTGAGATGGTAACATTACCTTTGAACAAACCACCAATGATTCTAGCAATGACAAAGATGGTGAAGTTCCAGGAACATGCCCATACAATATAAGAAACCAGAACTCCTGACTAAACAGATGCAATGCAAATTATTAGCATATAAACATCTGTTAAAGAGGGATCTAGCAGGGACATTCTTAAAATCTCTCACAATTAATGCCAGTAAAAAAAATTAGGTAAAATGAATCAATCTGTGGGTGAAAATACTATTTCACTTTATTTAATTACTTAAAATGACCATCAAATTCCTTCATCTAATTCATAACTTAGCCATTTGGTATTTGTTGGTATATTATTATTAGTCTCGCTTGCGTAAGCAGCGAGACTCATAATCTGCAATGCGTTTTTCACCCCAAGGGGGTAGTCCCTTATATAGGCTACATAGGTATGCGCCGCGCCAAAGGGTATGTTGTTTTAGCCATTTTGGTCTGAAATAGGGTATCAATTACGATCATTTTGGTCTGAAATACGGTATGGTTTGTACACTCTAGTCTTGAATTGGGTATGTTTTTTAAGAGGAATTAGCTACTTCTTCATCATTTGGCGATAAGACCATTTCCCTTTTTTATGTTTATGTCAACTACCGTGTAGGTGCCATAACAGCTTGTCACGTGCTCCGGTCACGTGCCAGGCTCCAGGAAAAAGGGTACCAAAGTTTTAATCAGGTCTGAAGTAGCGGGTAGGGAAAATCACAGATTTTGGTCTGAGATAGGGTAAGGGTTTCAGGAAGCGTGCCGCACACCCCTCCCAATTTTTCTGGAAGTAACCACCCCGGAATTTTTAGTCGTATTTTAGGACACAAAAGGCAGGTCACTGTGCCAGGCGTTCCTTGGAGACCATGGAAACTGGGACGGAGAATCATTGCGTGATCGAAGCCGGGCATGTTTCGCGAAGAAAGCTTAGGAAAGATTAAATTTAGGGCTTTTCCGAAATGTGTCGGTCCACGAATTCTATCGCTTGAAAGCGTTGATTACTTTGGAGTAAGTGAACACTACTGAGTGGTTGAAAACAATAAGAATCTTAATTAGCAAAATTGTGATGGTCATGTCTTGTAAATTTTCACTGTATGCAAATGAGTCTTGTGATGAGCACGCGATTCATTTTCGGCAATGATTGAAATGACTTGCCATGTAAATCACTTTTTCGATATCTGGCAATGATATAATTTCTCTGAAATCATCAGGCCCTTGAATTTTTGTGTATTTATACACGCGTATAGCCTGCTACTGCAGAGGTATTTTTGGTCGTCGCTAGCACACGTACTAAATCAATTCAGAAACAAATAAGAAGTATCAACATCGATAAAGTAGGAAGTAAAAAACCTTTAGCAAGGAAATCATCATTGTTTCTTGTAGAATTAATCGCCTTCTCTTTTCTCAATCTAATCTCCAAGCAAGCGAGACGTGAATGCCGCTGTAAGCATGTTCTTCTTATTATCATTTTTGTTCTCAAGCTTTTATATTTCAAATGAGGATTGTTAATGGCAGAGGATCATAATTAACATACACACATTATTTTGTATTTCATGCAAGGACAACCCAATGTTTTGAGCATGGCCATTTGCGATCAACATACAATGTAACAGAACTGATGAACAGTACTGGTGGTCTGGGAACTAGCAGACAATGAGACTGGATGAAAAATCATCCTGGTGTTTCTCAACTCATGACTGGGGTAAACTGGAACACCCTGAGGTTTCCAATAACTTCCTCAATGTTGGGGACCTTCAAAATAAGATTTTAATATATTTAATTTCATTAAGCACTTTAATATATTGAAGGCCTTACCATGCAAAATATCATTGGTAATCTTCTTCCATATACATCAGACACAGCACCAAATAAAGGACAACACAAAAACTGGAGAAGAGAGAACAAGGACCCTAGAAACCCTGCAAAATGTCATAAAAGAAGTTGATGGACATAGTAAGAATATAATTCATCCACTGGATACTGTGGGGGGGGGAGGGTGAAATGGTTGGAAACACACAGAACTAATGGTCAATCTCTAAAAGAATATGAATATTAAGACTGATTTTGGACAACATATATTTGATATTGAAACAATAAATATAAAGCATACAACATTAAATAATTTTTAAATTTTTATATCTTGTTTAAATGTTTTAGTCTCACATACTGAAAGCATTCACTCAGGAACCAGTCCATGAATCCAGTTTGTGATCTGTTTGGTATGGCTTTTTTTGATGGCTTAGTTAACACATTCAGAACCAGGAATAATAATAAATATAATGTAGTTATAGTTTTCACAAGAATCATTGTGCAGAAAATGCCAAGATGTCTAAAGAACTCCAATACCAGGTATGGCACCAGCTATTCCAGTTGTATGGCATGTTTTCTACATACAATATTAAATTATCATAATTACCTCCAAACAGAACGGTATTGAAGCGACCATTATCAGGCATTCCCAGAAAATCCCTGAAGGTGTTCACTTGATGAATAATTGAATAGTATAGTGAATCCTGCAGAAAATAATTTTTGTAATGTTAGCTGGGTATGTTTGATGTGTAGCCTCTGAATCAGTCCAGGAACTACGTTACCATTATATTTTTCAACACTATTAATTTCTTTGTCTTTGTCTTTCAAAAAGAAAAAGACAAAGAAAACTGAGAATCAACCTAGTTAAAAACTTGTACCTTAACTTTAATTTCGACTTGTTGACATGAGAGATGTATATATCCTAAATATATTAAGTCCAAGGTTGATTTTGCTTTTATAATTAGCATACAATTATTACTGTTGCAAGTTATTGTTATTATATATTTTTAATTTGGTTAAAAAACTGCAGAAAACTAGATACAGAATAATAAAAATCATTTAAAGAGAAACACTTTCCTTGGAAGTGTAGATGGAAAAATGTAGCATATTTTTTTTAATGAGGAAAAACCTGTCATAACCTTCCATTCTTGAACACTATCAGCTTAAACTTGCTTGCATTTAATGCAATACTTTTTAAAGCTGCGGGGGCCAAACAGTGTTTATAGTTCATGGTAGTTCAGGTGATAGTTTCAACCATCATCCACTATACCATCATGGCCTGCGGCCAAACGGTCATGATAGCACCTGATAGTTCATGGTAGTTGGAACCAGAAATTGTGTGTTTGCCCCTGCAAGCCCTACTTTCCAATCTCTGGGCATATGAAAGTGTAAAAAAAATTTGTCAGTAATATTTTAGGGTCACTTCAGTAGTGTGTGGTGTAAACCCTGAGCATTCCTCTTTATTTAAGAGCCATAATTTGTTTAAAGTATAAGGTTAATGTGATAGAAGAAGATAATGGGGCCCTGGTCTTTTTAAATAATTTGAGACGTCTCATTATACTTGACAATGCTGCTCAATGTCTGTCTGAGCCCATCAAGTCAGTCAAGAAACAGCTGACAGAAAAACTATCATCAACTACATTTCAGGGGTACCAAATGGGAAAAACTATCATTGACTATCATAAAAAATTTGAACATGTTCAAAGTATGTGACTGTTGATTAATGATGACAGTCAGTGATAGTTGATCATATCTAATAGTGTCAGTGGATCATTATAGCTACAAAGTAACATCAACAATCGGTCATCAACTATCATGGCGGTTTGGTGCAGGCTTTAAGTGCCTTTCAAATGCACCAGTACATGTTATACATGTTGATAATTCACTGCCTACAGAATGATTGAAAATTTAAGCGATGGGCATGACATTTCAGCTTCAAACTTGATATTGACTAACGAGCTGTTGCAGCTTACCTCCGTGCTGGCGTAAAACTCCAGTAATGAAGGAAACAGTGGCAAAATTACAGTAAAAGCAAGCAAGTCAACAAGCAATGAAAAGAAAACTATCCACACAGTCCGATCAGATGGGAAGCCTCTGGAATTCAATGTATCCTTAGAAGGTTCATCTTCTTTCGCATGGGCTTGAAAGTCTTTATTAGTTGTCTTTGAACCTCTTTTGGTGACCTCCAAGTCAGCCATAGTGTAGTGTTCGTGTCCAGCAAGCTCCTTGACTTGCTGTTCTATAAGCCGCGAGTTAGCATTACAAAGCACTTGGTTGTCTGCCTCCAGCAAACTAATTTATGATATTGTCCTTCAAGCATAAAATTCTATTTAGAGAAGTACGTGAGTTTGACGTCAAGAATAATAAACTTACAATATCAGCTGCTTTTGGTTAGTCGATAAAAATATGATGAATTCGCCAATATTGTATCTTTTACAGCTTGTTGGGGAACGACGTGGCAAAATGTAAACTCATCCTTCAAGCTTTAATTTCCTGCATTTTAAAAGTCCAAAATCCGTCAGGCGTTCCTCCAATCCATGTAAATTTCCGAAATATTCCGATCAGATTCCGAAATAAATCCACCGCGCAGTGAAAAAACAACTTCCTGCTCTCTTTGCCCCTTCCATCTATCGTATACACAACCACTGATAATTTCTACCCCAAAACAAATACTTGGACGCAGAAAGGATAATTTTAATTCGTGTTTTGTGAGATAAGTTTCTCTACTGTGGTCGGAAAACCTTCGGAAACACGCTGAACACGGTCGTACCGGCAAGTAAAAGTATCCCAGAAGCCCTAACTGGCGCGAAAAGGAAACGGAAAGGCGCTAAGTAAAGACTTATTGCGAAACGACGGAGCGTAAATATGCGGAGGATTGCTGAATTCGCCTCAATGGACAGGTGAAAATGGGAGAGCACTTAGTTCCAGTGCTACTAATAACAGCGAACGTCGGTTCAGTTTTTGAAAATGTGAGTAACCTAAAAAACTCTAATGTTTTTTTCTCCAAAGTTACGCAAAATACGACACCGTGATGTTGTTACGGGGATTGAATACGTACGTATCTTGTTGAAAATTTTACCGGTTTCAAGCAAGTGTAATCTATCGTTAATAGATCACATTGCAAAAGTTGATATGTTGTCATTTTCCTTCAATCAAATTGTTTTATAGTAATAATATATAAACATTTAAGCTAAAGGCTCAACTCTACGAAAGTCAAAAACGAGCGACGTGAGCTCGATTGTTTTGCTTTTGCGTGTTGTTTACAAAAGGAGGCTACTTTTATTTATTCCCATGTCGGCAATTATACTTTTTTATACCTTGTAATTTTCCATTTTGTTACAGCGTGGTGGTTTGGAGGAGCGCTGGATTCGCGAAACCTTGTCGGTAAGTTACGTTTTGTTCTGTGAGGTTACACGGCGCTGGCTTTTGAGTTCATCTTTAGCAAATTTTAAACTTTCTTCATTGTTAATGGATGTGGGGTTTTGGTTATCAGACAATAACAAGATTGAAGCCTAAGTTCGTGGCTTTGCACTTTCAAGAAAGTGGAGGTAAAGAATCTGGCGAAGAATCATTGCAAAACGTGAAGGAGTTCGTGAGGTACAAGTCAATTTTTTAAGCTTATATTTTTCGATTAATTTAAGTCATTATTGAACTCAAATTTTCCAGGTCTGCTGTTAGAAAATTTTAATGTCTTTGGTTAGAATTCCTTCGATCGAACTCTGAATCCAAATGTTTTGCCTCATTTTAAGAATCTTCCTTGGTCAGTCTCAAGTGAAGGAAAAATTTGACAGAGCTCGTGCGTGGTTTGATCAAGATTATCACGTACAAGAACGTTACACGGTGTGTAGGTTATATTTAATTAAAAGTCAAATTGCTTTCCTTTGTTTCTCCTGCTCCCTGCATAGTTTAATCCCTTATTATTGTTAAATATCCATTATGGAAACTTTCTTAACATATTAAAGTTTGTATCTCCTTCAAAGAAAATGGAAATGCTACCGCTGTCAGTGGATTGAAAATATTGTGGCGAATTTAAGCTTATACATGTATATTTATTACAAAGTTGTATTTTTGGGCTACATTCTTAGCAATAAGTTTTATTATTATTATTATTCATGATTATTTAGCGTTATAAATGTTGTTTAGTTGTTAAAAATACTTTAAAAGGACCAGTATGCTGGTTTGTAAATAGTCAAATAGATTATTTCTTTAAGTTATTCAAGAGTTTTATGATGTAAACGTATTTACATTGTCTGAATTTATTTTAACAACAAATTAGTTCCTGTGTAAAAAGAAACCCTTAATCCATAGCAACCACTGTTCTGCACGTTATTTTCAACAGTCCCACAAAATGTAACTTGCTCAAAATATTTATCCTTAATGCTTCATGCTTTTATTACTGTTCACACATTGTTGTAATTTTTAGTCTGGATGCATTTTTCTTAAAAAAGCCTTTAAGTCCTATATTTTTAAGAAATAGTCTGTCACACAGGAATTCATGATAGCGCAAAATTTTTCTCGGCGATGTGGGCGAAAGGGATTTAGTCTTTTACTATTGATCTGTGCAACTGTTGATTCTAAAACTGAGATTCCTGACCAGTGACTGCTTTATACAGTATGCCTTCTTTTAGAGAAGTCAGAGATATGTTGCTTTTTGCTCACAGTGAAAATTTGATCAATGATGAAGAATGTTTGCTGTTGTATTATTTGAACAAGTCAAGCAACCTTGACCTTCTCTATATGGCACTGTGATCAATTTGATCTTGATCTTTTAACTGACGATGAATGCAAGTCAGAGTTTAGATTCTACAAGAAAGATGTTTACCTTTTTGCTGAAGTGTTGCAGGTGCCGGATCAAATTAGATGCTATAACTGTGTTGTAGTTGATGGAATTGAAGCTCTGTGCATTTTTCTTAAGGGATTTACATATCCTTGTTGATATCTCGATATGCTGTCTAGATTTGCAAGACCAGTTCTGCAACTTTGTATGAAATCTTACCAAGTGATGTATTTTATTTATCAAACTCACCACCACCGTTTAAAGAATTTTAACCAACCATGTCTCTCTCAAGCCAGCCTTCAGAACTATGCAGAAGTAATTCATGTGACGGGAGCTCCACTTCAAATCTGCAGAGGATTTATTGATTGTACAGTTAAGCCAGTTTCAGTTGGCAACATCATCATTATCAACTGATTTTTTCATTACTGCTGTTGTTGCTGCAGCTCACCTTGCTGTTGAAGCTGTCTCTGAATGGATTGCTGCATAGTGCTGACAGCCTCAATCATGTGGGCCTGTTGTTGTCTCATACTTCTCTGTTCCATTAGTTGGTCCTCTTGCAATTTCCTCTTCATCTGTAACCCCTCTTTCTTCACCTCCATCTCTTTTTCTGATTTGTCTTCAAGATACATAAGCGTACCTGTACCGAATCACCAGTTGTTTCTACCCTTGGGTGTGTCAGTGTCTTCTTTGCCATTCAAAAGCTTTCTTTTCGTGTGGGCAAAAGTTTTGAGGGATTCCTGATGCATCTCTTTGCCTGTTTTCTGGTTTTTCTCAGTCTTTCCTTTTTTGTTTGAGTCTTCACTGCCGTACTGCTTCTCAAACTCTTTTTCTTTCTTGATGATTTACTCCAAAGTTGCTTCAACTGGGGTCAATTCGGGAGGTGCTATACCAGAACCCTGTTCCTGCTCTTGTATCTATTACAGGACGTGGGACTTAATGTAGGAACATCTGTATCTTGTATCAATCTCGGACAGCTCTTTGGTCAACATTCATGTTAAGTGGCTTAATCTGCTTTAAATTCTCAGTAATTAACCTGCGACCATGCTTTTCCACTCACTTTTGTCCTTGGTTGAAATCTAAATGGCCCCATTGGTAGAATTTGCTTACAAAGGGCTTTGTCTTTTTCACACGTCCAAGTCACAGCAGATACCCTAAATAAAAAAAATGAAGAACAGTGAATTGGAAGTAGTTTTATGGTGAGATGTTTGACAGGGCCTTTAAATTAATGTTTTCCCCTTCCACAATTGTTACTACAACAAAGTGGCTGCGACTTACTGTACCGCTCAAAAGTAAGTTACCACCCTCTTCACACGATTCCTGTAGCACAGGACATGATTCTCGTAACATGCGATGGCCTAAAAATTGTAAGTACATTAATTGTGTCATGGCCAAAATTCTTGAAACGTCATGATCAGGTGCACTATCATTACACTGCCGAAAATGATGGCAAGCTAAAAGAAAGCTTCTTGAAAGAAACTTTAATAACACCAAATCTAATGCCCGTTTTCCTCAGTCTTTGGGGTAATGCTAAGCAAAATTTCTAGTTGGTTTCTCACTGGAGGTGTCATCAGTTTATGCCAAAAATTGCTGCTTCAATGATTCCCACGTTACTCAATTCTAATAGCACGCAACGCAATTCCCATTGCGCTCACTCTTGAAATAGTTTTTCAAAAGTCGAAGAGAAGTTTCGTATCTCCACATGGCCATGCAAGACAGAAAAGTGAAGTCGTGAACAAAATACACATGCGAATTACTGATAAATATTTCAGAAGTATATGTTTATATAATCAGGGATCCACATTCCCAGTACATTTTCCCTGTGTTCTGATTACTTCTCATCATCTTAAAACTTTTAGAATAATGGAGAATAACAAGCAGCTTTCGTCTGCTATGAAATCGTAAGTTTGGGCGTCATCTTTCATGGCGCAGTATTTTCTACGAAACGATGACAGGCTCAGTTTTTTTGTGAATTACTGCATTCAGGGGCCATTCGTCAAAAACAAGACAGCATTTATTAAGATGCAGCATTTTTTAAAAAGGCGTTTTGTTGCCTTTGGCAAAAATAAAGGTGAAGTAGAAGCCGGTGCCTGATACACATTAAGATGTGGCATTTTTATGAGACGTTTCACTGCCTTCAACGGAAAAAAGGTGATGCAGGAGCCGCTGCCTTTTATGCTGTAAAACATAAGTGCAGCATCTTGACTTCATGTTCATGGCAGACGGACTGACCGTGGCAACCCTTAAAACGTAAATAAACTGTGTTTAGCCTGTTGTACATAAGAGTATAGTTAAAACCCTTTCTTAGTTATTATAACGGAAATAACATGCTTATCAGAACTGTTCAAGTTGCACACAATTTCTTTAATTTTTTCACAATTCTGCACTTTTGTCCGGGCAACTCAAATTGTAATCGGGCAAGTATGCCATCAGGCTTACTTGCCCCGCTGACGACTGTGAGAAAAAATGAAATCCCTGTATACTGAAATAAGTTTGCTCGGTTGTAAAATAGAATATTTAGTTACATTTACTGTGAAATTATGAGCTTTTACAGATGCACTAGTTATGACGAGATGTAATGACATTTAGGTTCACCTTATTTTTGTGTTGGCCCTTGTTCTGCTGTAACTTTTGCTGCTCCTGCACCATTCATCTATGGATTTATTTCATACACACATTATTATAAGATGTACAAAATTGATAAGGTTTATTTTCAATAAAATGTATAGCTTATGATCTTTGAACAGCCAGAATTCATGTCCGTGTAGCCTCATATTAAAGAACCACCTGCTGACAGCTCACAGATATTTAACTCTTTCAAAAGTTTCATTCTTAAATCAGTGGAAACAAAACCACGTCTGTTTTCTGGGTGTAAAATAAATTAACTTACATTGATCACCTTGTGTTCATTTCAAGATGCGCATTTCAATTAGTCAAGCAAAAATCGGTCAACTTGAAGTTGAAAGTCCGCGTTAAACACATCAGGTTGGAAACTATGATGAACAACCTGAATTTAGTGTCCATGGAGCAGTAAATGAAGCTTCCCTTCATCACTGCTAAAGTCCCTATTGTTTCTCCAGCCAGGTTCAGGTTACTGTTGAGACTTTGTTTTGTTCTCGCAGTTGTGCCTATTCAGCATCTTTAGATTATTCATGGCCTCCAAATATTTTAAAACACACATTTTCTTGACTTTTTATCAGCCATAAAATACATCTGTTAGCCCTTTTTCTCCTTTTTACAGACCAAATGACAGATTTCCCTGTACTACCATCTCTTATACTTCAGCTGGTGAACTCCCTACCCTTTCATATACCTGAAGCCTGAAAACTTACCCCTTTTGGGCGGTGACTCTATGTATAGGCCATTGTAGGGAGGTTGCCAGGGGCTCACCCACTCATTAATGCAAGTGTGAAAACCTGTTGGGTGAGTGGAATATTTAGATTATTTGCCCAGTTTGGCTTGGGAAATTTTCAGCTTAAGGAAAATATAACTGTCTGTAAACAACCCTATCAAGTACATGCAAATTTCCCACTTTCATAAATACAGAACTGATTAAGTGACAACTTCATAAAGTACCTTCTTATAGTCAAGATACTGCTGGTAAAAAAAAACAAGCAGTGCTAATGATCTTTCTTTCCTTGCATGGTTTCTATTTGAAGAACTGTTGATACAGTGTATTTTATATTTACCTGGAGTATCTAAAACTCCCAACAAACGAATTTGAAAGAAACCCCTTAAAAAGCAGATGCTAGACTGCATTAAAGATGGTTAAAGATAGTCTGTCAAAACAATACTTCCAGCAACACCACATAAAAATAACAGCAATGGAACAGTTGTTTCCTTTACTCTGCTTGATTTGATTTAACTTGGTTTGGGAGGGGGGAAGTGTATTTGGCAAGTGAACATGCATCTGTGTGAGTACAATGTACATCTGTTTGGAAATGAGATTGGGATGCTACAGTATATTGCGGCAGTATACCATTGTATTGATGGAATATGAGTACATGTACATCCTCAAATCTTTCAAATTTTGTCAGCACCAGCTAGTTATGAAGAATGAGTCAGGGGATTATAAAGCCAATCAAAAATGACAATAAGCTTGTGATGGGTACTTATCAGATTTGTTTGATTGTACTTATATTTCTTTATAAACAGGCACTTGGTTGTATTTATCTGATCAGCAAGTCTTTAGATGATGTTTCACTTTGGGATTTTGAAGGTACTGCTTGGTTACTGATGGCACCTTTTTTCATTCAAACTGAGTTGTTACTAGTGCATGACTACGAAGTATCTCTGTCTGTTTTTCAGCTTGTCAGTGAGTTTTTAAGTACAACGTAGACACAGTTTCCTTTATGTTGCAGCTTAATTAGTGTTTGTGTCAGTAAAGTACTCACGAAAATCACTTTTTTATTTCTGTTTTTTTTTTTAACAATGCATACAAGATTGTACATTCAAGAGGATCATTGCTGAAGAAGTAAGTACAGAATCAGCCAGCTGGGTTTTTTATTGTGTAAAATGTGCTGTAGGACAGCACAAAACGTAGCCCCGCAGTTTTTCTTTTTTCTCTTTCTTAAGCCAAAGACTGAAAAAAATCGCTTTTTTCCTGTGATAATTTGGTTGTTACCATTGATTGAGGTTGATATCCCTGTAGTGTATATGTACAGTGTATGCATAAATAATGTTGTTGGTGGTTGGGTATTCAGGCTCTGTGTGCTGAGCTACAGAGACAGGCATGTGAGTGTTAATGAAGAAAGATATAAATAGTAAATTGTACATATCTCATTATCCACTCCCCTCAGGGCTTTTCAGGGATCATTTACAACACTGGTTGGGGGACTTTGCCAGACTGCTCAAGGTGCAGCTTACAAGTAATGAAGGAATGAGTAATGATGCCCCCATACATGAGTGTGAAAGTGAGATAGACCACTACAGTACACCGGGCACTACGTGCCCTACTCTTTATGAAGAGTGAGTGGGTTCTTTAACGTCCCGCAGATTTATTACATGTGTAAGGGTTTGTGAGACGGGGCCTACGGTTTATCGTCCTTATCCAAGAAGACTAGAAATTCTAACCGTTTGCAGATGTTATTACAAAGGCAACACTTTCTCCTCAGTTATTTAAAGACCTTGAGTGTTGGTCCAGCTGGGGCTTGAACCTACGGCCTCCCGCTTAAGTAGCAGACCTAGGCTTATCCCATTGAGCTAACCCGGTGAGAGAGATGTATAATTGGGGGAACAACCAGTAACTGAGAAATAACAAGCTTGATTTCTGTTTTTGGATTTTTTCCTTGTCTAATACCTGTGTAAGGAACATTTTAATAAACTTTATATGTACTTTACAGATTAGCATAGGAAGTCTAACAGATGTCCCCTTTTTAGAAAAGGAAAAATTTCCTCTGGACTTTTTTCCAAAGGTATGTATGTGGTTTGAGCCCAGTCGATATTAGCTGGCAGTCAGCAATTTTTACATGTCAGGGCTGTGCTGTTGCAGTACCCACTGGCCCCTGGGGCCTTTCTTTTGCCCCTGGGTGATAGAAATCCTACATGTTGGGCATCCAGAATTTCACTGTATCGGACCACTGGACTCCCTTCAATTGTTTATGAACTACAGCCTTGAGTAGTATTAATGAAAAACCACACAAATTTAGGCAGGTTCTTCCACCTGCTTATTATCCAGTTATCCCTTTTACCATTGTTAAACTTTTTGATTGGGCGATTCCAGAAAATATCCATACCATACCATGGACGGCTTTTAGGATTTCCGAAGGGGAGGGGGGGTTCACGATTATGGAATTCTGAGGGCATGTGGGGTATTTACAATTGGAAATCCGAAGGCATGGGGGAATTCCACGGGTGGCATTTCTGGAGTAGAAAGTGTAGAATGAGTTCCTTGAAAACGCTATTGTTGTGGACTTTTGTAGTTCGTAAATAAACCACGAACGTTTGACCGCGGAAGTAGAAGACAAGCACCGATAGATCAGACACGTGTTTACGCTCTTAACTTATAGAAGTGAACAGTAGAATGTGGGTTTCACATTAACCTTGATGAATTTCTTGTCACATGAAAAAAAACTGAATATGTATCTTACTGCTTGCAAGTTTCTTGTTGCTCCCGTCAGATGAACAGTAAAAAAACTCGCACCAGTCCCTGGCTTACAAGGAACGCCTGTCAGATTTGAACACTTTTCGTGCACACTACATGACGTATAAAAGGACGCAACACGACTCGACGGTATATTTGACCGCCGAAAGATTTTAACAGTCTGAATTTGAGCTATTTTGCTTTGTAAACGTCAAAACAGCACAAGAAAACAAAGAGGAGTAAAATTACCGTTAGTGTTGTTTATTTTTATAGCCAAATTCAGACCTAAAAAGAAGTTTGCCCAGCCTGGCTACTAGCGGTAGGTTTTTCTTGTCGCTGAAGAGTAAAGCTTGTCGCCTGACGCCGCTAGATCACAGCCTTGAGGAGGCATAAATTCATGTTCGTTTGTCCATATAGGCATTGCCAAGTCGAAAATGTAGTTCCAAAAAAACAGAAATTCTGAAGGGTAGGGGGGGGTTCACGATTATGGAATTCTGAGGGCATGGGGGGGTAACACATTTTGGAATTTCCGAAGGCAACGGGGGGTTGAAACATGGAAGCCGTCCGTGGTTGGGTATGGATATTTTCTGGAATTGCCCATTGGGCTGTGGTTTATAATCTATACAACAGTGGCAATTATTTGTTATGTACCTTGTATTGAGCTTGTATTAACTTTTGTAAGCTACTATTAAAGCATTAGTTCATTACACTGTTGTCATGAGTTTTTTCGCAAAGAGTAAATTCACATGCTGATGAACAGCTCCAGATTCTCCCTTTGCATGTACACTGTTGACTAGAGATTGTACTGGTTGGGAGGCAAGTCCCCTTGTCTTTTTATCTTTGAGCTTTATTGTTTAGTAATATTTTTTGTGTCTCCTTTTTAGTTTAAATGGTCACGCAAAGGCTTTATGAGAACCAGGTGGAAAATAAACAAGTGGTAAATGACACTATTGTCAGTACATTTGTAACATTTTATTATTAAGAAATACACTAACTTTTTATATTCTCGCAAGCATGTGTTTTCACTGGTGTGATAATTTGTATCATAAACACAAAGTATTATAATTCATGTCTATTACATGAAGTGGGCCCGGGCCCTGAGTTTTAAATATGCACACATTTTGAATAAATAACACTTTTCTTGCTGGTTCATATAATGTGACAAGAGTCTTTACAGCATGCAAATTATTTTATCATTTTCCATTGTCCAAATCGGTTACAATGTACATCTAGTGCTGACAAATTGCTAGAGGCAGGTGAAATGACCTGACCACAGGCTGGCCATGTCATCATAATTGGCCTTTAAAAAAGGGTTGTCGTCTTTACACGAAAGGCTTTAAAGGTTGTACTTGGTGTACATTTTGGGTAAAAGGGCATAAAGTTCGAAATCTCTAGAAGTGGGAGTAAGTAAAACCTGGGAGTAAAGTAATGTGATCCATGTCTGTTTGGATATAGTGACATTGTGACAATAGCATTTAGGCTGAAGTTTTGATTTTTATCACTATAATGGTAAAAAGCCCATAAATTTCCATCTGTTTTGTTACTTGAGTTCAGTGAGTGTTAATGTTTACATTGCAGTGTGTTTGATTTACTGAATATTCACCTTTTTCATGATGCTTCAAATTTGGTGTCCGTAGAGATGGTAGGAACAATTTTTTGCTTTTGTAATATGTCAGTTCTCATCAAATGATATCATTTATTTAAACGTGGCACTTTCTTTGTCTTTTGTTTAAATTACAACATCTAACTTGATAATAAATTAAATATATTAACCACAGCATTTATGAATATGAGTTTTAATATCAGTTTCGTGTTTTGACTTTCTTGCTTCAATGCCTTTCAGACTCCTTCTGAGTACACTAAAAATCGTAAGAGAGCTCTGGATCATGTGCTTGATAGGTTAGTTGACACATCTACCATCAAATAAAAATTATTACATCTAACAAATGAAACCTTGTATTCTGGTACTCGTAAGAGGAGTCATTTGCTCCCAAGTCAGACCTAAAATAATTATCTTGGCCTGTGGAATGAAAAGAATTTTATAGTGTGACATTAGGGCCCTCAGAAATGGCAAGGTACAGTTATGGTGCCCTCATTTTTATGCATATATCAATCTTTTTTTGTCAGATTACACCATAGCTGCCTTCCTATGGCTCCTCATGTGTTATTTGGTGACTTCAACTTCAGACTTGATAACAAAAGGGTGGTCGAGGTATGGTACCACCTGTACATTGTTTATATTGCAGCTGTACGGTACAATATAAAATGTTCTATGTTTTAAACACAAGGCCCAGAGAGAGATTTTCTGAGAAATAGAGGAAAACCAATCGAAGGGTGCCTATGGCTACTCGAGGATTAATTACTGTAGAAATGAAAGCTGATAATGAACTTGCGATTAGTCTATACCAGTATATTTCACGTCTGTCAAAAAATGAAAATATGTTGTAAGATAAAAACAAAACAAGACGAATAAAAAAAATGTAAAAAAAAGTTTGCTATGGTGGAAGTCGAACTCCATGCCTTCAATGTGTTTGGTCAACGCATAATCTATTGCGCCAGGACAACTAATGTTAAACAGAATTGTTGATTTCATTATCTTTATCACTTTTGCCCATGAAATTCTGCTGTATGACAGTGGTTAAAGCTGGTTGAGCCTTATTTATGAAGGACTGAAAGATATTTTGGAGGAAAACAAGCATGGTTTTGACGGTTAAAGCCGTACTTAAACTCATTTCGTTGCATTTGAAGAACATATGTCCAACAAAGCAATATTAAGTGTCTTGCTAAACTGTCGCAAAGTCTCTTGCTGACGGAGTTGTACAGCTTGCAATTCTCTGCATTAACCCGAGGAGATTCAATTACGATTCAGCAGCAGTAAACATTTCCTTTCTTATTCAGCCATAGAAACATTTTATTTCAGAATGTTATTTCCCTAAAAATCATGAGATTGGGGGTCAAGTTTAGAGAAAAGTTAAGCAAGCCATGCGTGTCACAGCTTTCTAAGTGGAAGCTGTGTTATGATTGCTTGAAATACTATCCATCCTAATTGGCTAATTACATGGAACTTCCGGTTTCGAGTGAGTGACAAATTTACATACAGATTCCCCACAATATTCGTGGATAATCCCTGAGTAAAAAGGGGATTCTCTGATGAGAAGAGAATCCTCTAATTATCACCCTTACATTTGCAGAATGAATATCAAGAAGTTTACTATCTCTGTATATTAATTCTCTTTGAATTTTTTGTGTGTTGTTTTAATTGGACTCTGTTTAAATTAGCCATGCCATAACAGATGTTCCTGTATAAATTAATAAATACATGTAAATAAATAAATAAACATTCATAATAATTTAACAAGTCATTTTGCACTGTCTCTACAGTGAAGATATTCAATTCTTAAATAATTTTGCTTGTTTAAACTGTAAGGAGTTCTTTATTTTTTACCATGTTTGCAGTAGAGCTGGTTGAAGTGTTTTAATGTTTTTCCTGTGCTTTTTTATTTTGTAGTCTCTCTGTGCTGGGCTACCACAACAGCACATCAGAAAAGATGGTGAGAGTAGTACATCAAAGATAATATTTAGAGACAGAAAAAAGGCTGACAAGGTATATACTGCAGTTTATGCTACTTGTTCCACAATAATTATGGAACCAGGATAATTACAGTGTATATGGCTCTAAATAAAACAACAACGGAGAAACTTTTTACCCTTTTCCATCCTACGTATTTACATGTAGAGCTTAAGATTGATATGTTTATTAATGACATCTTAAAGGTGAACTGCATGTGTTCTTAATTTTTCAGGTTTTTCTTACACTAGAACCTAGAATTTTCAAGTTTCACGATGAGAGTATCTTTCGATATCATAATGGAAAGAAGTTTTCAAAATACAACAGAGAGTTTGATGCCTTCCAGGACAGATTGTTTGAATATAACATTTCATTTATTCCCAGGTACAAATTGTGTTGTTTGGTAAAGACTGCAGTGTTTCTCTGCATGTGTATTTCAGCAATTTTAAATGAATCAGTCAGATAACTGTAGGCCCTTATAATCAACGTATTTTATTTTCAAACTTACAGTTTATATTCTTAATAATTTACTGTCCATCAATCTTAGTCAGCTTTCCAACCACATTAAATGTCAAATTTCTCATCATTGAGAAACAGCCTTTGCCTACATGTGCATCAAGGAAAGAGGAAATTTATGTTATTATTAAAAAAATGGTTACAGTCAACTAAATGATGTGATATTTATAGCTGTATTTTTTTTCAGTTATCCTTTCAGTGAAAATGTTAAAGAAACAACTGTTTATGGGGATTCAAGGTACCAAAAAATGCAGTTTACTCATTCGTTGTTTGTTTTCCTTCTTTTCCGTTTTTTAACCTAGCATTTTACATAACATTTTTATTGTATAACCAGTGGTTTTACCAATGACACTATTGTTCTACTTCCTATGGCGTTTCCCTAAATAGTCACTCAGTGGGATGCCGAGTTGAGCCTTACGGTACCCTGCGGCAAAATACAACTGACTTCCCAGAGTCGGCTGCACTGTATTATGTTCATTTGGTATTCATGCATTATTATGAGCATAGTACTAATTCCAGACATTCTTTTTCAACAATAATTTAGATGTCCATCATGGTGTGACAGAATCTTCTTGAGTCATTGTTGGAAAGCACTGATAGTGGAGGTTGGTCTCTGTGCACAGTTGTAACTATTGTCACATTAAACCAATTGTCATACGAGAGGTGCGCATGTTCTTGACTGACGGTAAGGTGGGGCAAGGTTTGATGGCCGAAGACTGGCTTTGGTGCAACGTAACACAGTTTAGTTCCACTGGTGCACAACATTTTGTTTCACTGCTGATGTTCCTGTTATCAATGACTTTACTGCAGTTTTGCCCCAACTTATCAACCTAGCCTGGGGCAAGCAGTATTATTATAATACGTAAAATTACTTCAGAATGTGTAACCTGCGTAGATTCAGAATGTTTGTTTTGTCAGTCACATACACACGTTGTTGCCAGATTATTTTGATGTACGATAACGAGTCTTGCATTGGCATCATACAGCATTATTTGTGTTTATCTTAAACTGTAGAGGAAAAGCTTTCCAGTGGTGTATGACATGATAGGAAAACAAACCTGCATGGGTGACCACAAGGTAAATAAGATTTAGAATAAGGGTCAAGCTGACCAAACAGAAAAAATCCCAATGCAGTGCACATCAGGTTGCATCTTGAAAGTCTCTTTATAGAATCGCAACAATTGCATTTACTTTTAAGAAACTAGTAGTTTCCAGTGGAAAGTGAAGTGCTGCGAGTAAAGCATGACATTTCAAATAATCTGAATCAGTTGCAGCTAAACCACCACGCACACGTTTTGGGATCTGACAGTCTTTATCACAGCGAGAACACTTAAACGCAAGTAAATACACCCGAGATAACTGATTAACACAAATACTTAAAACTACAGTCAAATCATATAACAGAATACAAACAACAGAAAGGCCAGAAGACTGTCCGTCGGAGTGGCGTGATGGGAAATCTGCACTATGCTTACAATCTCGCTTCTGAACTCTGCTTGCTTATGCTATAAACTGCGTGCATACCCGAGGAGTTATGCTATTAGAACTAAATTTATAAAACCTATCGCTATCTGGTGACTATCAGCTATATTTGAGTAATTTTACATCCTTAGTGTATTTTGCCGATGGCTTGTTAAAGCCCGTCAGAAGACATGTACGCTACCAAAAGTCTGATTTTGTTTACATTACTTGAATTGAGCGGTAACACAACCTCGTTCCCAGGTTCTCTGTCGCACCCTCATTAAAGTTCTGTTTGATAGATTAGTTACTTCAAGTGACAAGACAAGGGCAATGTGAGGTAAAGAGGAGTAATTAAACAACGCAAATGGTACGCATTTTGGTGGGCACCAGAGTCTGTGTCTGTTAAACTCTTTTAAGGTCCAAAAATACCGTAAAACATGGAAAGTTTTTAAAATTTTTGAAAGTGACAGCTTAGCCTAAGGTCTCTGAAAACTTTAAAAGGGTCATGGAAGAGCTCAAAAGAGTACGAACCAGGCTGGGTAATTATTAATAAATTTAACTGACACAGTTTGTTTCCACATCTTTTCTTTTTTTTTTTACTTCTCAGCCTATATTCTTATTTTTCAAGATGAATTCTTCTGGAGATACCGTAAATCAAGGTTTGTAATTGTTTTATTTGATGAGAAGTATGGCCAACCTTTAATGATATTGGTCTGCCGCGACCTAACCTTCTCACTCACTTAACTAAGAGCATTATTTACATCATAGACTGCGTCAATAACTATCTATTTACCCTGCTATTGCTCTGTCTCAAATACGCTTTCTTATCCATTATGTCTAACAAGAGTATTGCACATAATAATTAATTTCTGGTTGCTTTTTGTAATTCCTAGGGTTTGAGCCTTACATGTAACATACCTTTAAAAATTATAATAATTGTCGCTTTTAATATAAATTTTAAATGAAATTAATTTTTTCTAGTCTCAGTGCAGTGATTGTCTAGTTGGTTTGTACTTTGTATTGTATATGCTAGTGCTTCTCGATTTTTTTTTTATAATCCTGAGCCTGCGGGCACTTGCCATAGCTTTTAAGGTTGTTTTTGTTTCTACCGCATAACATAACATAAAACCACTGCAACTTACCTGTAATTTAACATCGTACGTGCTAACTTGTTTGATGTCCTAGGTGCATGTTACTCTGAAGGCTGAAAGAAATCTGGGTGTTAGGTTAGTTTGGGCTTTTGTTGCAAAACAGTTCTGGCGAGTTAGTCCTTGTAATGTGCATTACTGAACGTTTCAACGTACTAGGAACAGTCCTTTGTATTGTGTTAATGAATAATTATTGTCAACTGATTCTGGATTAAAATTTGCATGGTAAAATCTGGGGGAAAATGTAACATGAGTGGATCGGGAGAGGCAGTGAAGAAAGGAGTTGGGACCTCCAACAAATTCCATTGACACCGTGGTTGATAGAAAGAATAGATTCCCTTGCCAGAAATTATTTTAAGCTGATGTAAAGTGTTTTATTAGCAGTGAATGTTCCAGTTCTGGACATATTTTCATCTTTCACGTCGAAAACCTACACTTACGAAATTTTATTGAAGCAGTAGTTTTAACTCTCTTTAACACCCCTGTAAGGAGTAAGGTCTTAACCTGTACCTGGCAGTTTGTATTCAGGATTATCCACTACACAAACCACCTTAGTGTAAAACTAAAGATGATGCTTTCTTGAATATTTATGGTGATATTCCTTTTTTCTCACAGCTGGTCTTGTACAGAATGGTGGACCCCTTGAAATTGTCGAGTATCTTACAAGCGTTTAAGAAGTACAGAAGTCGGTTGCTCTGCGCGAGCCCTTGAAGACCTTGATCATCATATCATCATGTCATCAATCTCTACCTCGTCTGATCTTAATGCATCAGCTATTTAACAGTTATTGAATGAGTATGATGAGAGGAATTATACAAATCGAGGAAAATAGCCTTCAAGATCTGCATAATTCTTCGCATAATACGAAACCCGAATTCATTATTTCTTTTACTATTCACTCAAAATATTAACAAGCTTATCTCCTTGTAGACTTTCTTCAAAACTCTGGCCTATTTCTCGGAACGGTTTCTGAATATTATACAACTGTCTCCCGAAGGAGAGCGGAATAGTAGTATTATATACGAAGACGCGAAGCGTCGAGGTGTTTATCTAGCGCCGTTCACCGACCCTTAAGGGGATAGTTGTTTTAGTATGTACTAAATCAATTGGAGAAAAATGAAGAAAATAACTTTTTGTAAATTACTTAGTAGGAACTTTGTTTACAATTTACAAACATTTCGGGGATTTTGTCAAGTGATTTTTACGACTTTTGTTGCAAATTCAGCATGAAAATTATTTTCTACCTACCATTAAGCATCGACAAGCAAAAGTTCGTCGCTTTTCTGGCATTTCTTTGTACGACTGCTTCATTTATCGCTCAAATTCCATCTTCCGAAAATGTCTCGAAACAAGACGCCATCTTGGCTCCGATCGCAAAACAGTGAATAGCCAATCAAAACGCGCGAAAATTGATATTCACTGATTTGGTAAATACTAAAAAAAGATTTTTTTCTTGTAGATACTCTTCAAAAAGTAGGTAACATTCATCGAGCAACACTTTTTGTTATTCTTGAATTTCTTCCGTTCAGTTTTAGTCCGATATTCCGCTGTTTCGTCTTAGGATAACCGTGAAAACGCCGTCTTTTAGCTCATTCAGGAATAAAAAGCAAGGCTGCCGCGCCTGGGAACGATGCTTCGTGGGCAAAATACCATCGAATCGATGGTATTTTGCTGGCATCCTCCAAATTGGGTCAAGGCCAGCTACCTATGAATTAGGTGGGGCATTTGAGCCAATCAGAAAAGGCGAAATATTTTGAATGTATAATAAAGAGATATAGATTACAGGGAGAACCGTGCAGTCTACAAAGTAGTAGTATCCTCGGCCGGCCATGGACCAGTAACACTGCTACAATAGGTGCTTTAACCTGGTTCAACTTGGGGAGAGCAAGGGACTGCTTTCGTAATGATAGTACTCAGATCCTCTTAGTAATAACAATGATATTCATATGGTGATAAGATTTTGATGTTGTACTGTCAGGGCGAAGGGGTTCGTCCTTAAAAATTATGGAGGCAGTTTGTCAAGATTCAAAACATTGTGATTTGTGTTTATATTAGATACAAGAGATGTTAATTAATTTTTAAAAATATATATTTTTTGTATATAGAGAACAGACCTTATCATTGTAGGTAAGCGGAACGAATGGGTTGATGGAAAACGTAAATTCGTCTTGTGACAAGCGTTTAAAGCGTAGCTTACTTTGGGTGCGTTCAATTGGCAGTATTCTGGAATAGGAATGCATTCTGGATTAGTCTGGATTAGTCTCTACCCCCAAAATACACCTTTTTTCTGTTTTCAGAATGCTGATTTACTGATCAGGATAACAAACACGGCGTCAACAAACATATCGCTGCGGCACGTAAAAAGGGGGAAATTACACCCAGGGAAATTGACGTATGGGAGATATTTTACCTTGTGTTCTGGAGAATAACATTATATGACCGGCGTGGAGAGACTTCAATATCCTTGTCGCTTTCTTTGTGTATGGAAATATGCCAAAAAACATTCCAGTTCTCTGCTCTAATGGTAGCCTTTCTGCGACGGAGTGACTCGTTTCTCTTAATTTAATGTCGTTTATTGATACCTACCGCGTCCGCCTTGTTCTTTTTTGTCTTGAAAATCAAACGCATGGCGAGAAAAGTGACGTTATCCCGTTTTATTCAGCCACGCATTCTGTTCCTTGTAGCAGAATGTTTGGAATATCTTGAGCGTATTTCGACACTGGATTAGCAGGTCAATAGATAGACTTTCTCAAAGTCCTTTGCTTCCCATTTCCAGTTCGCCCGTTCTCTCGCTCGCTTTGCCGCCGAAAACCTAAAATATTTCTAGCTCGCGCTTCGCGCTCGAGAGAAATTTTAAGCTCGACTTGTGGGCAAGTCTAGTCAATTGAAGGAATTTCCTATACCAGAATAAGAATGCACCCTCAGTGTAGCTGAATTATGGAGGTCCTAATTATAGTTATGTCCTTACAACGACTGATATCACAGACAGTCAGTGGAATTCTTATCTTGAAAAGTTTTGGCCAAGGCTTTATGATCTATCTACCGCGCAGTCAACCCTTCGTCCTTCAACTAATCCTTTTAGGAAGGTTTATTCCGCAGGTAAACCAACGTAAAAACGGAAGTTTTATATTTTGTGTAGTATCTAGAGGTTTATTAAGATAAATATTATTCGCTAGCTAGTAGGACTTTTGAAACCATTATACACTGATGATAAACCGCAACGAGAGGAGACACTTCAGTCATGTACTGAGACTTGGGGTCATTTAGCACTTTTAGGGCCTGTTTACATGGGGGTGGGGGACCCCAGGTAGGTGAGGTAACCTGCTTAGGTGGGTTAACCCGCCTGTCCATACAATCTCTGTTTTTTAATTCATCACGTTTACAGATAGGTGGGGTGACTTGCCGCACGTCACCTCACCTATCTGGGGTACCCCACCTCCATATAAACGGGCCCGTACGGTATCATTGAGAAAAAATCATGCCTGATCGTTTCGGATACATTTTCGGCAATGTTGGTCGTGAAATCTGTCAACTCAAATTATGATTTAGAAAATGACTAAGAATGCTTTCCATTGGTATTTCCGACGAAATCGAAGTTGCGACGAACGCTATAGATGATACGATGATCTTGGAGATCAGAGCGACGATCCCTTTGCCATTGCAATTCTTGTAATCAAGGATGACCAGGCTAGTTGCTCGATGGCAAAAACGAAATCTACCCCAAAGTTGGACAGAAGTGCTATTTACATTACGATTGTTTGATTTGCTTATTAAACCTATTGCATCGATATCGTGGTTAAGGCTAGCTACCATGCAGAAAAATGTTCTTGAGATGCAAGCGACTATTTTGTTAAAAAGCTGAAGAGAAGGAGAAGGCGCGACGGACATCCGCACTGGTTACCTACAGGAAGGCTTTTCTTATTTGATTCTAAGGAGAGAGGGAGAGAGAGAGAGATGGTCTGGAAAAATATCGGAATGGAAGGGTTTTGAGAATAGAAGAGATTTGTATGCAATGTCGGTGTACTCTCACTCAAACGGATTAATACAAAGACCAGTGGAAAGACATTTTGAACTCAATCCTTAAAGATGAACTGTCAGATGGCGACACCGAGGCGTTGATAGCGGAACTATGAATAGAAGAGGTTTGTTATTGAAATAAAGTTGCTGTAAAACAATGATGTAAAATAGTGTGATTTAAATTAACATCGTCGTAAATTAAGATGCATTGAATTAAATCGCGCTAATAAACTGCATCGTCAATTATTATTTGGGCGTCGCCCAAATGGGGTAATCGAGATGGCTCGTTACTTCGGGGGAGCGCGAAGTAAAGGATTCGCGACGATCAGGAATGCCCCAAAGGTGCCTTTTTTGGGACAAGATTGGATATGCAAAGTCCGTGGGTGTTCGGTCTTATCGGTTATTTGACGAAGTAAGAGCCCAACTAGTTCGGGATATCTCGAGGTCACTTCGAGTTCTTTGATGTATTCTTTTTAATTTAGTTCGTGGAAGAAAGAATTATTATTGCCCGGCCTTCTTTTCAGGAAGAGACGGGTTATAAAATGGCCTGGGTTTTTGCTTCGTCGTCGAATAGCCTTCTTCTCTTTAAAGCGCATGCTTGTACTGGCGAAATATCACGTGATCGATGTCCGGCAAATTCACTGGCTTAGAGGCAAAATCCCTTTGACATGTTGTCGAGAACAAAAGGCTGTTTTTTCAGTCGGTTGACCGAAGCCCTGACCACACGCATCCGTTTTCATTTGAAAACGCAACTTTTTCTTTTCGGATACGGATTCCGTCCATACGTATCCAATAAAAACGTTCAATGAAGACGGAACGTTCCGCTAGTACGTATGTACAGACGAAAACGGGACTTTTCGAAAACGCTGAGGACACACTATCAGTTCCAATCCACTCCGCGCGGCCACTCCGTGCAATATTAGAAACTTGATGGCGGATGGGCGCTTCCCTTTGTTGTCTTTATACTTGGGCTTATTTCTAGCCTAATTGCTTGTTTTCAAGCTGATTATTCCAGGAGGCGGCAGAACATTATCATGTTACTTTCGCTCCCAGCTTTCGCTATCGTTGTCAAGAGGCGAAAGGTTGGATCTCCCTTTAGTTTAACTTGGATTTTGCCCCGATTTTTGACATTTTAATCTGTTTCTGCGACTTTGAAGAACGTCACAACAGTATAAATCCACACCAAAGAAATTCAAAGATGGCGCCAAATAATAGCCAAAACGTATGCGTCACAGCATACGCAGTCGGGTAAGTTATCGTTTTCAAATGGATTCATCGTATAGGTGTGGACAGACGAAAGCGATGCGAAAGCGCTACGAGAAAACGGAGAAAAAAAGTTGCTTTTTCAAACGAATACGGATACGTGGAGACAGGGCCTAAAACCTATGAAACGTATCCATTAGTTGATTCCAAGAAAGGATAAAGGGGACAGAGAAGGCATCCCCCATACACGCCCTATTCCATAGGTAATTCGTCTCGAGTTATTTTTAAGACCACAGATCCCAAGGGGGACTAGACAACAGCGAATCACATAGCGCGAATGTGTTCCGCGTGGATGACCCACGCTCAGAACCACGCGCCCTTCACGAATTGACGCTTAAAAAATGATGGAAGACGCGGAGAGCGATATTGCTATTCGTTTGGTCGACGAAAACGACTAAAGAGAGATTTCTACTAAAGCGGTGTCAGCGAAATGGAAATTAAAAAAGAATCGCCCTTCTTCTCTTGTATAGAGCTAACAGTACAGCAGGGAAATCCTTAACACACTGAATATTCACTGAGGATCATTTATGATTTACAGTTTGAAGAGAGCAATTTGTGGTTTGATATTTATTCTTTTATGAGTCTTTTATTATTCAACAAAAATAACACTTGGTGTCCTACTTGCTTTATTGTACAAACGACCGTTTTCAATAGACCGGCGAAATTTCTCATTTTATTCAAGCACTGAGGTTACGACAGCTTCGAGTTAAACTGATTTCACGGGTTGTCAAAGAGTCCAGCGATTCCCTTTTCCCAGGTGACCGCCGACTCATTTCGCTTCAATATTCAGAAATGCTCTCGATCTCTTTACGCTTTCATTGCCTTTTGCCAAACATATTTTGCACGGCGTTTAGTCATGCGAAACCTCCACGAAACATCACGCAGCGCGCGAGGTAACTTTATCCCAATTCTAAAAATAACTCGAGACGAATTACCTATTGAATAGGGTGTGTATGGGGGATGCCTTCTCTGTCCCCTTTATCCTCTCTTGTTGATTCATGTTCTCAATGGAATATGAAGTGTTGAAACTAAATTCCAATTGATATTGCTCTCAGCAACATCTCGAATATTTTTAATATTCACGGTATAGAACTTTGCTCGATCTTTGCTACGTCACTGGAATCTCGGGCAACTTGCATTGTGAAAAGCCGTAAGTACCATTCTGTCAAGGCAGCGGGGGAAAAGGTTAAAGGAGCTGTGTCACGGCAGTCCAGTTCATTTTGTTTAATTTTGCCAATTACTCACCCTCAATCGCTATGGAACTTAAAGTAAACAAAGAAATTACATGGAAATGACAAAATCAGAGATTCGAGACAAACAAATATGTTTCCTGAGCATTTTTTTTTTTGAAGTTACAAACAGCTGAGATCAACTTTGAAAAACTGTCAGGCTGAACAGTTTTCAAAAACCCTAATTTCAATCCGTTTCAATCTTCTTCAGTTTTGCCCATCCGTGGCATCTGTTGTATTTAACCTTCCTTTAATGTTTTAAGCGGTTATTTTTACGTTTCTCTCAATTTAACGGGCATTTTGTAATTACCTAATTTGGCTGAATTTCGTGAAACAACTCCTTTAAAAAATGTGACATTGACCTGAAAATTTCACTACCCACCTACCTTTCCTTTGATGTAATCCTAAGATCCTAAAAGCTTTCTCAAAGACTTTCCTAGAAAAATAAAGCCTGCTAAATGTCCAGCAAAAGAAAAAAAAGGGCAATAAAAGCGAAAGAAGAGGGGAGGAAGAGCTTTCTGTGCATGTCCGAACTTCGCAAGCTAATTCCTGAATCAGAAGGTCGCCAAGCGTACGTACGACCTGTAAACGGTTTTGTGATAAGTGTTAGTTCGTGGCTTAGGCTCCTTAGTCCGGAGCGACAAAACCAACTTTATACATTTAACCAATAAGACTGGCAATCTTTTCACAAACAACATTTTAAAAAAGTGCTTTCTACGTGACGTATTGGTTAATTTAAACTACTAGAAATTTCATAGTATCCGCTGGTTCGACAATATTGTTGTCTAAGTAGTAAAGGGTTGATTTCAAGCAAGACTTTTCGTCTATGTCTGAAGCTTATTAGCTTAGTTTTGGATGTTCGGGTCCTTCTGTACCAGGAATATGCCAGAATCATCATCAAATAAAATGCTAGGCATCTGAACAAGCTGGTAAATCTTTTATATACAGAATGACGTTACCGTAAATACGTTAGTGAGTAAATAAATACGAAGGTAAATTAGCCATTATTCCTCCGATAACATTAATCAACCAATGATCATAATACTTTTTTTAGCTTTCAGCCAACCAATAAAAAACCAAGACATTCGCCAACCTTAAAACAACAACCTGTCGAACCGGTCAAACCACCCACATGCACAAATACAGCAGATAACCGTACCTTTTCTTTACAAGTTAAAGACAAACACTAACGACCATGACATCATTGACGCTAATGTATTCTCCTTCAAATTAATGAGATTTCCTTCCAGAAAACGAAAAACCGGTCCCTACTATACTACTAACGTGCATGAAAAGTTCAACTCTTCTAATCAAATGTTTTGCTGTACTTTAAATTTTTTCTTTGGGAATCTGATGAAACATTTTTTGGGAAACAAAAAAAAAGTTAGGGCGAAAATTGCATGAGCCGCAAGGAGAGTGTGTTCAAGTGACTCGCTCCCAGCCCCAACTTCGCCACGCTCTTTACGTCAAACCTCGTGCAGCTTAGTTCCTCAAGAATAGAAAATACACACAGTCTCTATGAGTTCTCAGTGAAGCTTATGATATCAGTTGAATGACTAATACAGTCAACACTCCTTTGCGGTCACCAAAGTGACAGAGCCAAGTATCTTCATTACAGAGTTGTTGGTTTTATAAAAACCGAGCCGGGACTGTGTGGACTTTGGAACCAACAGAACTGTTCGTAATAGACAGGTGCTTGTATTGTACAAGTGTCCCTTAAGTGGAGTACTACTGTAAACATTTTGCAACCTACTGTTAGTTAACACTTACTTTAGGTTTTGTAATGAGTAAAGTCTCCACGACTCGTCGGATCGAATGCGGTTGAGTGTGAGAGGTAATATATCAAACATGAGATGCAGTGTTTCATCACCAGATGAAACACCGAGAAGAAAGTTGAAAATACGACGCGCAGCGGAGTATTTTTGACGAACTTCGAGGTGTTTCATCTGGTGATGAAACACTGTGTCGAATGTTTGATATTTCTTCTCAAACAAAATCATTTTTGAAGGAGAAATTAAGGATGCAAATACTAAGCAGTGTTTCATCCGATTTCCAAACACTCATTAAACATTAATTTCCTTTGTATTTTCTTAATGAATTATTAATGAGTTTGAGAACAAATTATGAAAAATTGGTAGAGTTAATTTGAGTAACCATACAAAATCTTTTGGTATGACCATTCAAATAAAGCTTCTTTAAAAGTACTTTGAAATTATCCTAAGATATATATATTTTTTATTTTTCTCGAATCCCGCTCTAATAGGTGTATTTCTCATAGCCGAGGAAATCCATTAGATCTCTGCATTCATCCTCTACGGCCTTTATAAAGGGCTTTGGCGCGTTTTTCCAACCATGAATAGCGGCTGTAGCATTCCTGAAAACAGAGTATTCTGTTCCTTGTTTTGAATTGTTTGCTAGTTGACTTATCCATTCATCAATGCTCGTTGACCAATCAAATCCTGCGAACCTGTACAGTTCCCGTGCGATAATTACCGTATTTCCCACGAGATCCTCGTAACGAATAATTTTAAAGCGGTTCTTAAGCCAGGGAGGGGGAGACAACAATCCAAAGCGAATATTCTGTAGTATCGGATTACATATCCTTCGAACATTATCACTAAAGCTGGGATGCAAATGATCTTTCATCCATTTGAGATTTCTCCTGGAGTTCACCACTGCTCTTGGATCTCGAACTAAATGGACTAATTTGACGTCATAGTGGCTTTGTTCTTGGAAAAGTTCCTTGAAAGTTTCTATTGTCTTGTTGGGTACTCGTGAAGACAAAATCTTTATAACAGTGTAGTTGTGATTTTCACAAGAACTGGTAAGCAAGGTTCTTGAAAACCGCGCCAAATTTGTGTTCGAAAGTGCCTTACTATGGAGAAGATGCCACCGGTACCTTAAAAGTGCCGATATAATAGTCTTAGAGAAGTTCGTGAAGTCGCACTTGAGGAAACCATCAATTACCCGGAGGAATGCTTGTGTGTAATTCTTTGGTTCTTTGTCTCCTTTAACCAAATCAACATGGAAAATTTTTTCAGTTATGGCAAAAAAAGGTTCAAAGGAATACATGACATGAGGATTTTCATTAAAAAGTGATCCAAGGAAAGAGGAGCCTCCGCGGCCTGGACTTATTATGATGAGATTTTTCCTTGTAGAAAAAGGTTTTTGTGGCAGCGGTGTTGCACGCTCCATTGTACTATTGGTCCTTTGAAAGAAAATAGTCAACAGTGGTGTTAATGATTTCGTTCCAACCTTGTTGTAGAAAGAGACCAGAAGCAGCGAGATACGAGTGCACATGAGGAGAGATATAAAGCTGCTCTTCATAGCTGATTAAGGAACTTTTGTTTTAACTGCAAAGGAAAAAATACATCTGAATGTTTATAACAAGTAAAGATATTGAATTTAGTAACTTAAAAGATTATAATCTGGGGTCGTGGTGCATATATAAGCTAAAACTCTCTTTTGATCACGGCTTAACTGACAGACGACCAGTGACATGGCGACGAAATTGACCAATCAGGTCAATAACCAGAATTCAATACCATCAACTGACGCGTTACAACTCACTTTGACTCTGAAGATGACTAGTGTGCACGTTGTCGAAACGTCAGTCACTGACAACAACAGTCCTATTCAGGACTACACTCACTCGGACGATCATATTCCACCTATTTATGATAAATAATTATTTTATTGTGCGCAGCCTGGAGACATGAAGTTCTCAGAAACCTCCTGGTATTTTCATGAATTTACAGTGACCTCTAAAAACACAGCTGCTATTTCTTTTAGGGCTATAGACATTGTCAAATCCAGTATCAGAGTAAACTGAAGGTGAGATAAGGGGCAATGGAGGACGACAAGAAGAAAGCTTCTTGTCAGTCCGATGATTAGCTTTTAGTTTTCGCTTTACTTTCTGTGTAGTTTTCGCTCATAGGTAGAGGGCTGGTTCTGCAAGAGAGCGTCGCCTTTTTATCCGATATCATGTTTGGCAAGGCTGGCTAAATCACGTGGGTGAGTCACGCGTTGTTGGTCAAGCGTCTTGCGCTCTTAATAAAAAGATTCTTAGTAACAAGCGAAACAATCTGAAAATCAAAACGGTCTAGTATCTATGAAAAGTAAGCAAAAAGGTAGAAATTTATCATTATTTATTATTATTTTTGGAATGTTTTGGTGCATCTCGCACAGAGGATCACTTACGAAGTATTGTGGGAATGCTATGGTATGGTTGATTAAAAATTGATAACGCCTGCACGGTCAGTATAAAACACAGACTGTGGACTGACACAGAAAAAAAACAAGTGGAATCAACCAATTTTAGGAATGTATATAAATTACATCACAAAAAGACCTCCAAAACAACAGGAATATCATGAAAAGCGAGACAGCTTTTACTTTTCATTAAGATAAAATATCATATTGAAAACAAAAAGTAGAAAGACTCAGGTTTGGTATTCTGTGTAAAGGTTGATAAACCTTAATATTGTAATTGAAGAAACTGGGGGCTTACTCAACTCAAATGAGCAGGAGGCCCACTTTTGTAAGAAGGTCCGTGGTTATCCTTCCCAAAAGTGAACCCCTCTTGAATTAAATTTTCTCTAAAAGAGTGAAGGTTGTCGTCAATTCAGAGACGCCCTTCAGGGAAGAGAGAATCTCTTCTCTGGGGCCCGTCCCCTCTAGCTTAAGCTAAGTACGAGCAACAAGCATTGTCGTAGCAAGGGTGGTGCAGCTAGTGGTGAGAGCTCTCGCCTCCCACCAATGTCATGTAAAAATTTGAGATGTAAAAATGTTCGTAAATTCGTAAAGCTATCTCACAGCGAGGGAGGACGCCAATATGAAAGCCATCAACTTGTTTCGAAACTGTTCTTAACTGTTGATGTCATATCAAGCAACAAGAAAGCTGGTACAGCGGGAAAGTTTTTTGAAAAGCAATATGTTCTCACACGAGCAGATCAAATGATTCGTGACTAATAGAAAATATACAAAATCCATTTAAAGTAAAAGAGGAAGTTGGGAAGAGCAAGATATCAAAGATCTCCTGAGCAGCATGTATACCAAGTCCGGTAAGCTTAAACTGAGGAAAGGAAAGCCAATCAGATTTTGATAAGGAAAGGACCACAGTACCCTGGATACCATTTTTGTCAACCAATTGTAGCGTCTGTTAGATTCCAAGTCCCATTGGTGTATGGTCATTAGAAGCCAATCATCAGTCGTGTCCAAAATTTGGACTAAACAGATTTAACCGTGCATAACGCTCTGGTCTAGAGGCTTTTTGCAAGTGCATGTCACTATAAAGACTTGACCGAAACCAGAAACCGCCCATGAAAAGTCTCGACCTAGCAGGACCTGGCACCCAGTAGCGCTCAGTAAAAAAATCTTATCAAAAACATCCAACATTTAAAGTATGCAGACATAAATGTAAAGATATGTTTCGTGGACACATGAAAAAATGAAACAGAGGCACAGAAGAGTGGAACTAAGAGTAGATGAAAAGAGGATAATTTAATTTTGATACAATCTCCAAACTACTGTCCGCTAAAAGAAATGGTGGAAAGAAAAATTAACTAATCAATCTTGTGAAGTTATCTCAGAGTATATTATTGCCCTCAATCTGTGAAAATAGTAGTGGTAACACTTCTACCCGGCAGTGAATTAGAGGACGCTAATACAGAGCAATGGTTTATCTTTCAAATGTACAAGGATTGGTATACACTTTGGTTCTAGTTTGTTATGTTAGTTTGCTATAACATCATTTTGAACATATGGAACAGTTTGCCCTCTCAAGTACGTCTTTCAGGTGATGCTAATGATTTCGTATAGGTAATAGCATGATTTTTAGTGATATTTGCTATAAAAACCACGAGTGATATTTCGAAATTGTTATACGTACGAGCCGTTCGGCGAGTGAAATCTGAGACAATTTGAAACATCACGAGTGGTATTTATGCCAAATATCACGTACAAATCATGCTATTATTTGTTTATACTACTACCCGCAAAAGGTTTGTAATTTTCAAATGTAGGTATTTCAAATCAAGCTGAAATACCGCCGCTCTAAGCCAATCAAATTGCAGAAATTTCTCATGTAATAGTATAAAAAAGTAAATTGCACGATTGCAGATTTTTAGAACGTGTTTTATAGTGCATGATTGTAGCTTTTTAGAACGTGTCTTATAGTTTTCCAGTCACGTTTTTAGTAGGTTCTAGCTTATATTATATTGTATATATATTTATTGAATTGTTTTTAAAATTGAATAATGTTATAATGTAGCTGTAATTATTATAGATTTTGTTTATACACGTTCGTATTTTGAACGAGTTTTTAAGCTCTCTAACGTAGCGTGTCAAAATACATGATTGATTTATTGATTATAAATTTGATTTTCCATTTTGTACTTATAGTTTCCTTTAGTAAAAAGAAAAACGACATAGAAACAAAATATTGATGAGAAGTTTCTTGAATATACATTTTGTAATAAAAATTTAGCGAAAATCGCATTTTATTGTTCGCTGCATTCTTACCTTTTTTAAACTATTTTTAACCGTTCCTAATATATTGATGCAATTTTTTTTAAATTTTACTCGCACTTGAAAATGACCTCGGAAGGGTCGAAACGTCGTGACTTTTTATCACAAATTTTTATCACAAAACAAAGTTTCAGATCCCCTCCCCTGCCATCCCCTCTCCTCCCCCTAATAAATGACTTGCGCGTCAAAGTCCTGGGGCCCGTTTCTCGAAAGCCCCGGTAACGTTTCGGGCCCGAAATTAAATTTTCAAATCGAAATATAAAGAATAAGAGCGCGGGTTCTGGCTAGCAAACTACTCCATTTTGTTTCATTAACTGATAGTTTCATCATGTTAAATGCAAAACTATTGAAACCTTTATCTTACATGTAAACAACAACAGCTTTAAGGGCCCGTTAATTATCGGGACTTTCGAGAAACGGGCCCCTGGTCACAGTGAAAACCGTATCTCATTCCTGAAGGAGACAACCCCGTGACGGATTCATTTTGCAAACGACTTAGTTGATCATCTTAAAAACGGAGATGGAAAACTCGGCTTACAGAGATGGACTGTAGTTTATGTTTCATTGTACGAGTGTAGAACTAAATTGGAACCGAAAGTAGTGAATGTTTTCCCTTCTATTTCTTACGCTCTTTCATAAGTTTCAGAATAGAACTCTTTTTTTAACGTAAGAGGAACTGATTTTTTCCTCGGCGGAATGAATGGAAACGATTTACCCAGGCTTGAGGTAGCGATGTCAGTTGTTAGACTTACTTGTCGCAAAATTTGAAAGTCACCGACGTTTCACATAAGGGGGACAATGGCAGATAAATGTAAGATTGTGTACAATTACGAACTTACATTTTCACTTCCAAGTGTAAAAGGTCCCTTGTATTTCAGATCAGTCAAGCTTTGGGTTGTTCCAGTTTCAGCACTTTAAACTGAACTGATTTAGCTTTCTTAAAATGTAACTATTTTTAATTCATGACCTGCTCAATTGAAATGTCGCAGCAAGTTTAGTATAAAGGTGAATTCTTATAAACTTCTCTTATCTTTCATCAAAACGGATGGTCTTGCTAGAGTTTGCTCAGTTCTGATAAATTAGCTATTTATTCAACATTAGATTTGCAACTAACCTGGGATGAAGTTGATTATCCAAGCTCCTCAAAGTACAAAATTTTCAGCAGACGAGATCAAAGATATAAAAAAGCGGGTGTTCTATGCAGAAACGCTATCAATGACTTTCAAAGAGAAAACGTCTATGATTTGATAGGAAGCTTTGTCATTGGCTACCGACGAATTCACAAACACTGACAAGTTAACTTTGTTGTTTCCATAACCACAATAAACTTTAACGTAAGCACGATAAGAAAGTCTTGGTCAATTATTCGTTTTATATATGTATTAATAAAATCGAAATACTCGGCACCCTTGTCATATTACGATTTTTTCTTTCAGAACCAAGGGTTTGTGTATAATGGGGGAAGGTTATCCAAGCAAAACGGTTTTCCTGCCTAGCACTCGCATATTTCACCTTAGTGTAATTAACGCGACGTGTTTACAAGGCTGATAGGGTTGCCCTGGCACCAGGGCAGAACCTGTGAAGTGAAAACATTTCATTTCATTTAGACTGACATGTAGTAATGATTATAAACTATAAATAAAACCTAATTGCACAGCTCAAATATTTATGTACATATAAATAACATTAAAAAATCAACTACCTACGAAATAGCTCACTGTATACAAAGCAAATTATTTAACTTTAAATTTGTCAATGGGAGCAGTCTTATCTGCCACGTTTAGTTACACCTTTGTCCTCGCAAAATGGTTTGATGAAACGTATAATTCTCTGTTAATCAATCGTTACACCTTAACCAAAAACTCTCCCTTTTGCTGAAGAGAATCAAAACCTATCTAGAAAAAGACGAAAACCACATCAGAATAAAACCTTCTATAGCATTAGGCAGGGTCATATAAACAAAAAGATAATTGAAGCTTAATGTCATCCACGTAGCACTTTTGTCATATGTGGCATCATACAAGATAATAATGCTCCTAGCCGTACTCACAACATATAATTTGTCCTCAGATAAGACAGAGTTTTACTGATATTCTTTTATTAGCCTTCTTCTGTCATTAAATTTCAATAGTATAGGGCACACTGGCTGGGCCAGTTTTGCGGAAGAATCTCATTATTTTGTGGAGCCGAATTGCCGATAACGCCATGGCCTGAAAACGATGCACAACAGGCGTTATTTGGGGCGCGAGCGCGAACAGCGAGGTGTGTAAGAGGAGGGAAAGATAAAAAAAAACGACTAAAGACAGGTTATCGTTCTCTTCTCCCGCACACGTACACGACCTCCAACAAATAACCAATAAAAGGGGTAAGTTAAAATTATAGGTGGTAATTATAGCGCTTGCTATTCTACTGGCACATGTTGAATTGATATCAAATAGAAAAGGTTCCATATCAGGTAAGAACAATTCACACCATAGTAGAAAACTGATATCGACTGGTTAGCAAATGTTCCATCACTGATCTTAATTGATATTAGGTAAGAACAAGTCACCACATTAGTAAACTGACGTTGATGAAAAACGTTCCATCATCCATCATGGTATCTACCATCTCAAAATAGAAAATGCTAATTCACGGAATTTGAATAAGTTAGCAGATATTATAATGACAAATAGCTTTTATTAGGGTGGATCACATCAGCCAAGATATAAAAATCAAAAACGAGGCGTCAATAAATAATTCTTAGACATACAGGGCAACATTTTTGACATTTTTGACATCCTTTGTTACACGTCGCATTTCTTCTCAGAACCCTTTAGCGAGGATTTTATCCTTTATCTGTAATTAAGTCACTTGATAGGTTTTTTCTAAGCCGTTCTCGTCCTCAGGGCTGCAAACCTGGTGGTCAACGCCAAGGATCAAAAGATAGCTCCACAGAGATGTAGAGAGGCCGGATTAATAAAATCTGTAACTACGAATACTTTTTTTCATAAGAAAGTCAACATTTTTATTGGATCTCTATATTCGAAGGAAATTTTCTACGCGTTCTTCCGATGACAAAAGGATGTTAGATTTCCTAGTAAATAATTCTTAGATTAATCCCTTTTTTCTCTAAATATTTTGTAGACAAGGAATCCATGTTTCAACGAGTACAATACCATGTTGATTTGTGTAAAGTATCACTAATTTCATCCGGCTTTGATATACGAAATAATTAGGAACGAAAAACGAGGATCTTACCCTGCCTTGTAGTGTCCAAAGCCGTACCGCGAAACAAGGAGGAATCAAAAAGTTTAAGCTCGAATTTAAACAATACTGATTTTAATAGTATCAAACTTAAATCTTCTGAAATGGCTATAAATGCATCTAAAACTGCCAATAGTAATATAAATTTGTAATTATTACATCTTCACCTACAACAACAAGTTACCACCAGGCCCCCCTCGTTAGAGCAAAATTGAAATGAATAGACTTTGAAGCTAAACCCAACACACGCAGAGGTTGAGTGTCACCCGGACATTTTTAAGTTGGATTCTCTGAATGCGCCAAAGTTGCCTTTACGATTGTCATTAAGAGCTACAAACTCATTGGCAACAGCTACAAGACAAAGTTTGTCTGTTCTCTGTTTGTGGGTGTTCAGTATTGTCAGATTACTAAACCTTGTTTGTGTGGTAAGTGACAGATCTGGGTAACTAAAGTGAAAAACAAATTCTTTTACAATCCAAAAAATTGGTGGTGGGGTGGGGTATAGCCTACCGAGCCCCACCCCCTGCACGGTCCCTGAAAGGGTAAAGCAATTCTGTATCATTTGAACATTTCCAAACGATACATGTATTTCTTGGTTGCCACTTGAAATCGTGTTTTACTTTTTGCATGAATTAAAGCAAAGGAGTAGTGACGTCACTGGACGGCATTAACGGCCGGTCGATTCAGATGTTACTGAGGGAGTAATAACGACTCGAAGTAGTCGAATGAAATTCAGGCTATAATGAATCATTTTTAATTTAATCCATGGCTCTGCGCTTAGCCTCGCTTTGAAACAGAGGCTTGAGGCAACTCAAATATGGTCTATTTCATTCCCTTTCAAAAATATGGCGAAACCAGATCCTTCTATACTACTAACGTGGACGTTTATTGTCATTATATATTGTTACTGTTATGGATTAGCGTCTCAACAAGGCGAGCACATGGTAAACGAGCATGTTTTAATGAGTCCCGGATGTGTGACATAATATACTACATAACATCTTCCTTCTGAGAAAAAGGATACACGCGTAATTAACTTGTGAAAACTAACCAAATTTTCGGTAAGAAAGATTCCTAGAACAAATCAAATGTTCTTTAATCTTCAAATGTTCCTTTGAACTTGTACTGAGAAAAAAAAGAACTAAACAAAGTCTAACTTGATAAGTCAGTCCTATTCTTAAATCTCTCACTGAACAATGTCCTTAAACAGGTTGTTGGTCTTGACAATTCGTCGGTAATGAGGTCTTCACAGCCTATCTGTGTGATACCTTGGGTGAATTTCTTGATTTTCAGCGCCTATTTGTTTGGGCTTGAGTGATGTTCGGCTGAAAATGCCGCTTCAAAACACTGTGTTATGCATGGATTAGCGTCTCAACAAGGAGAGCGCATGGTAAACGAGCATGTTTTAATGAGTCCCGGATGTTTGACGTAATACACTACATAACAGTTACTATTAGTATTACTATTTTTTTCTGGACCTGGTAGTGCAGCTTACTTAGTGAGTATGTCAGGCCTCTTAGCGAGGTTTGTAAACATTTTAAAACCTACTGTTAATTAACGCCGACTGTGGCTTAGACTCTTAACTAGGTTGTGACTCGTCGGATCGAATACGGTTAAGTGTGAGAGCCAGTTATGAAAATTTGGTAGAGATAACGTGAGTCACCATACGTAATCTTTGGCGTGACTATTCAAGTAAAATCTCTTAAATAGTATTTCATCATGGTACTATTTTCTTTCATTATCATCACCATTTTTATTTTTCTTGAATTTGAATTTTAAGCACCCGCTCTAATAGGTGTGTTTCTCATAGCCGAGGAAATCCATAAGATCTCTGCATTCATCCTCTACAGCCTTTATAAAGGGCATTGGTGCGTTTTTCCAACCATGAATGGCAGCTGTAGCATTCCTGAAAACAGAGTATTCTGTTCCTTGTTTTGAATTGTATGCCTGTTTACTTATCCATTTATCAATGCTCGCTGACCAATCAAATCCTGCGAACCTGTATAGTTCCCGTGTGATATTCACCGTATTTTCCACAAGATCCTCATAACGAATAATCAGAAAGCGGTTCTTAAGCCAGGGAGGGGGAGACAACAATCCAAAGCGAATATTCTGTAGTATCGGATTACAAATTCTTCGCACATTATCACTAAAGCTGGGATGCAAATGATCTTTCATCCATTTGAGATTTACCCTGGAGTTCACCACTGCTCTTGGATCCCGAACTAAATGGACGACTTTGACGTCATAGTGGCTTTGTTCTTGGAAAAGTCCCCTTAAAGTTTCTATTGTCTTGTTGGGTACTCGTGAAGACAAAATCTTTATAACAGTGTAGTTGTGATTTTCACAAGAACTGGTAAGCAAGGTTCTTGAAAACCGCGCCAAATTTGTGTTCGAAAGTGCCTTACTATGGAGAAGATGCCACCGGTCCCTTAAAAGTGCCGATATAATAGTCTTAGAGAAGTTCGTGAAGTCGCACTTGAGGAAACCATCAATTACCCGGAGGAATGCTTGTGTGTAATTCTTTGGTTCTTTGTCTCCTTTAACCAAATCAACATGGAAAATTTTTCCAGTTATGGCAAAAAAAGGTTCAAAGGAATACATGACATGAGGATTTTCATTAAAAAGTGATCCAAGGAAAGAGGAGCCTCCGCGGCCTGGACTTATTATGATGAGATTTTTCCTTGTAGAAAAAGGTTTTTGTGGCAGCGGTGTTGCACACTCCATTGTACTATTGGTCTCTTGAAAGAAGTCAGTCAACAGTGGTGTTAATGATTTCCTTCCAACTTTGTTGTATAAATACAATAGAAGCAGTGAGATGAGAGTACAAATAACGACAAATATTAAGTTTCTTCTCATGGCTGATTATGTTTTACCTGCAGAGAAAAACATACACCTCAATGTTAATGACGAGGAATGACATTCAATTCGGGAACTAAAGATTAAATTCTTGAGCTAAGATGGAGATATAACCTAATTAGTGGACGGTGAGGGTTTTGGACCGTTTAGGGGAGGAGTAAGGAGGAGCCTAACCATAAATAAAGTGCGTGGAAACTTCTTAATTCATGCGAAATAATTAAGAGATTTTTAGGCAGCACTTTTGGACAGCAAGGTCATAAATTAAGGATAGGAATCTACATTTGAGTACACAAGTTCATAAATAAAAAATGCATTTTCAGTTTATAGTGAACACGTTAAGTTATCAGGACAGACATTTAGGGACAAGAACAGGAAAGAAAAAAGTAGAACGTTAAGAAAATTACCAGTTTAAAAATAATAAATCTTGACTACTAGATTGTAATGGTAAATAATCGTCTTAGCCCTCGACTTATATAATTGGCCATTGCACGACTCCAGGTTATCGCCTCAGTTTCAGAATTGCGAGAATTTAGAAATGAGGCTCCCAGCGTGCCCCTTTCTATCCTTAAGGCCGCGGGGGAACACCTACATGTGTATCTATGAATAACGCCATAAGGCAATATTTTGCTTGTACTGCGTCTTTTAAAACTCTCGGCTGTTTTAGAAGCGATGTAGATAACATTTTACAGAGACATTGTGGAATAATAGAACTTTGGGAGGGTTGTTGAAGGCACAAATGTAACAAAAGTCTTGACGAAGCAAAAAATGAAATGCAAAAATGTAGGCACGATTGTTTTGGTATCAGCCATTCCTTTTCCTTTTTTACAAAGTAAGGGGAAACATTGAGCGGATTAGAATGACACTTGAAGCCTAACTTGTGCAGGGGAAAGATATGTTTCATATCGAAATGAGCGCAATTTAGTCAAAAGGGCCAGAATTCAGGTCGCGTGCTAGGAGAGGGGAGTAGTTCACGGGGTCCGCAAATTTCACCGTTTAAAAGAACTGCACTGACTATTTTTCATCCTTTAAAATTAGGTGCGCTTAGAATGAGCAAGAAAATATACCGTTTGTTACAAAGCCTTGCCTCTGAGTCAACTTTTTTGTTCGAAAACATATTAAAGGAGCTGTGAATCAAAACATCAACTCGCTTACTTTGGAGTAAATTTACTTTAAGTCACGGTTGCTACAAAAAAATTTTCACCGTTGTTCATCTATGGAACTAACAGAATTTTAAGGTATCAGTCGAAAGTAAAATAACTATTCGTTTGTTTTTAATGGTCAAGATGACAAAAATTACAAACCTTATACCTATAATCTGCATTATACCTGGAAGACAACGTTTTTAGTCGGGTACTTTTCACGACAATTGAAATTCAAATAGGAAGAGTTTTAATACAAATTGAAAATATTAGTGAAAAAACAACCAAACAAAAACAAACAAACAGAAGAAGAAACCTAAAACAAAGAGGAAAACAAGAATATAAAAAATAATTCGCTTTCTTCTGTGTGCCTCCTTCGCTTGGATTGCAGACTTCTTCTTTATACAAAGCAGATGTCAAGTATTTACCCATGGAACATGCATGTATGTAGCAACACATCCTGTAATGACCATGAAATTAGATTCGTATGATGAAGTTAAATTTCTTGTAGCCCTCAATCTTTGGTCCGAATGCCTGCGAAAATCTTTGGCTTTTCTGATTAAAATACACTACAAAGAATTAATTCATTGAACAATTACGAATAAATTTCAGAGATATAACACTTTTTTTTCAGTTTAGATTTTAGACCATAATCATATTTGCCAATTTGAATTGAGCACGGCGAGTGAGCCATTATTTTACACTACATAGATTTTCGGCCTTGTCCTATAAACTGTTAAGTTCTAAGATATACGAAAACCCAATCATGTTTCAGTCCATTTGGCATTTTTTTCCTTACAAAATATTTTCACTCTATTACAAAGGAGACAGGGGACAAGGCAGATAGCAAAACAATTTGATTGACAGGTGATGTTAACTGACAGTATGACGTTGTAATAGATGTTTATGTTTTTGTGAAATTTATTACATTTGTGAGCGAATATTATTACACTTGTGACCTTTATTACATTTGTTACGAGTTATTACATTTTTTGCCTTCAACAAAAGGCGTTGAGATATCGGGGTTGGCCAAATTGAGAAACGGCTTACCGGTATTGACCACGGTTTTGTTTTAAAACAACGAGTACTCTATATTTTTAAAATGACCGTTACGAAGACTCGAGTTCTTTTAACAAGGACGTTGGGCATAATTTCAGTTACTTTTTCGGTAACGCAGTAGGTAGAAAGAAGCACGCATCTATTGCATATCCCGGCTCTTTTTTTCTGTTCTCTTCGAAACTATTGATCAAAGCGTTCAGCTGAGCCTGATGGTATTTCTGGACGAGTTTTACCAGTTTGAATGCGAACAAGGATCTAAGTACTCAATCTTTTTTGCCTCCTCCTGAAAGAATCAGTTTCGTGAGAGACTTCACTTTCTTACGAGAGGTCGAGGCGTCGACGAGGGCGGCACCCTCGCGTCACGCGGTTGGTCATGGTCGGTTGGGGTGTGCAGAGGAAAGAAAACCTGAAGAAAGCTGATATGGCCAGCCGAAATATTGTAATTAAAAAGCAATACACGTTGTTATGATCAATTTCTAGTAGTCTTTGGACTTCTCGTTTTTTTGGTTTTTAATATTTTAGCTGATTAGAACTCTTTTCTAGAGATCCAACGTTGACAACCAGCAGGATCTTCGTCCACGTTTTTCGCAGTTAATTTCTTTATCATTGTGTAGAGGAATGTCCTAAATATACGGAAATAACGTTTAGTGAATTTGAAAATAACGGTTTCAAATGGAGGCAGTAGTTTGGGCGGTGAGAGGATACACCTCTTTCATGTGGACTGGCCATTCGTGCAAAGAAAATATGTGGTCTTAAAAATATCTGGATTCGTTTGGACGCCCGGGCCTCAGGATCCGTAGCGCGTTCACTTAAATCGAGGCCGTAGCTAATCTTGCCCTGGATTTGAAAGGTGAAGTTCTTAGTTAAGAAATAAGTTCATTAAAACCATTTTAAGGTTAAATGAAGGGAGAGTGACATATTTGAAAAGATGTATTAGAAATTTAATTTTGTAGAGAACATAACGTTTGACTCTATATCAGGAAATCAGAGTTAAACGTTTTACGCCCAAGTGAAAGCCTTTACAGAGTCTTGTTTTTAAATGAACGTTAGGAAAAAAAAGTAAATGTCTGTTCCTGGCTGGGGTTACTGGATCAAGTTTGCGGTCGCATATCGATAGCACATAAACGTCCAAGTTTTTCTAAGCAAATAATTGATAAGGGGGCCACCGGCGGTGAGAAGAGGTGAGAAGAAAAAACAATTTTTAGGCTCAACGTGTTTAAAGTTTTTATTTTAATTAATTTTTATGCGCTGGCCTCCTCAGTTACCTCTTTGAGAGACAAGAGGAGACGCACGAACAATTATCCACCAAACAACGATCTGGATACATAGCATACGCTGCTAATTTACATATACTTTTTCCCAACCAACTTTCCTTTCTTTATGCCAACAAGTACGGGAAACTGATGCCAAATTCTAACACTTCATCATAATGTTATTTTTAAGCCTCTAAACATGTATCACATGTGAGACAGCGATCAAAAATGTTTGGTTTACCTCTCTTTTTCGTAACGGTTGCCATGAAAGCGTTTTCTAAAATGCTTCCTTAAAAATCACTAACACCTACCAGACAATGTGGGCGAAATAAAGGTGTTCCATCACGGTACTAGAGCATCCCCCATATACACCCTATTCCATAGGTAATTCGTCTCGAGTTATTTTTAAGACCACAGATCCCAAGAGGGATTAGACAACAGCCAATCACATAGCGGGAATGTGTTCCGCATGGATGACCCACGCTGAGAGCCACGCGTCCTTCACGAATTCACGCAGAAAAAAATGGCGGAAGACGCGGAGAGCGATATTTCTATTCCTTTTGTCGACGAAAACGACTAAAGAGTGATTTCTGCTAAAGCTGTGTCAGCGAAACGGAAATTAAAAAAGAATGGCCCTTCCTCTCTTGTAAAGAGCTAAAAGTACAGCAGTACTCAGTTCTCCTAGAATCATTTATGACATTTATAATTTGCAGTTTGAAGAGAGCAATTTCTGGTTTGATATTTATTCTTTTATTAGTCTTTTATTATTCAACAAAAATAACACTTGGGGCCCTCCTTGTTTTATTGTACAAACGACCGGTTTCAATAGACCGGCGAAATTTCTCATTTTATTAAAGCACTGAGGTTACGACAACTTCGAGTTAAACTGATTTCACGTGTTGTCAAAGAGTCCAGCGATTCCCTTTTCCCAGGTGAGCGCCGGCTCATTTCGCTTCAATATTCAGGAGTGCTCTCGATCTCTTTATTATTTCATTGCCTTTCGCCCGACATGTTTTGCACGGCAGTTAGTCATGCGAAACCTCCACGAAACATCCACGCAGCGCGCGAGGTAACTTTATCCAGATTCTAAAAATAACTCGAGACGAATTACCTATGGAATAGGGTGTGTATGGGGGATGCCTTCTCTGTCCCCTTTATCCTCCTGATCAAAAGGTAACTCGTTCACACCAACGGGTCGTCGAGAGGCCAGATTCATAAAATCTGTAACTTCAAATACTTTGTTTCACAAGAAAGACGTTTGGATATGCGGTCAAAGGCATTTTGCAGGTAGCGTTTATATATTAAGTTACTGGTGACCCGCAACAACTCGCGTTTGATAGAAACGGACGTGATTATCACACACAGTCACTCAAGG